AGCACCCGCATCGGAGGCGGCGCCGAGAGCGGCGGCCGCGGCCCCCCCGTCGGCAGAGGAGAAGGACGGCGTGGGTCTGACGCCAGCCGAAATCGTGAGCGGCGAGGCTTGTCTCGCGGGGTCGGCGGGAGTGGAAACGTAGGCGCCGCTGCGGCTAGAACTGCGGCTTGAACTAGCGTCGCCGCCGGCGCTGGCGCCGGCGCGCTCGGCAGCGGGGCCGGAGTCCCTCCCGCCGCGAGCGAAAGACGACGCTGCTGCTGCTGCTGCTGCTGCTGCTGCTGCTGCGCGGGAAGCAGCGGCCGCGCGAGCCGCAACCACGAACGTGTCCATGCTGTCGCCGTTGCCGTTCCACGGCCGACTGTTACCGCCGTTGTTGTTGTTGTTGTTGTTGCTGCTGTTGCTGCTGCTGCTGCTGCGGCTGCCACCTGTCGAGCTAACGGAGGCGAGGGGGGGGCGCTCGGCTCGAGTCGGAGTCGCCACCGCCGACACGGATGCCGTCGGGGGCGGCGGCGGGGGCGGGGGCGGAGGCGAAGGGGGACCCCTCATCGGAACGATGGCGTGGATGTGGATGTTGATGTTGCTCGATGTCGGCGCCGGGCTGGACGTGGACACCAGCTGCCGGAACGCGGACGCATTCTCCGGGTACGCTAACGCTTCCCGCCGCCCCCGCGGGGGGGAGTCTCGGGAGGAGCGCCGCGCGCCGCTACCCCCCCCCTGCTGCCCCCCGTCCGCGCGGAGGCCCAGGGTTTCCCATGAGAGCTCCCCCGGCTCGGCCGCGTCCTCTCCCTCCGCGCCAGCCGCGGTGGCGGCGGCGGCGGCGGCGCCGCCAGCGGGTGCCGGTGTGTCCTCTTCCATCGCCGACAGACGTGCAAGGTGAGGCGCGACGTCGGTGAGCATGCGCCCCAGGCGATCGAAGAGCGGGGCGATGTCGCCGGCTAGATCGGCGGCCTTGACCCCTCCACAGACCCCGCCCGCCGCCGCCGACTGAGCGGCAGCGGCGGGGGCGGCGGCACGCCCCTGTTGCCGCAGCTGCACGCGTTGCCGTGCCCACGGCAAGGTGTGAGAAACGGCGCGGCCACCAGTGGGGCTGGTCGAAGGGTCTAACTCTAGTTGTTGCGCGTAGCACGCCGAGAGCTGCGACAAAAAAAAAACGAACGCACAAAGCAAAAACGGAGAAATTAGGACGGGGAATCGCGTGGTTAGCAGACAGGCAAGACAAGCAACAGCCGTCGTGATGGGGAAGCGCATGCACGAAAGGAAAGGACCTCCGGTTGGGGGCGACGGTATACATCCACGGGCAGAGCGTGGAAGCAGCGGTCAGCGAAGAACAACAAACCCCGCGAGTCGAATGCGGCGAGTTAACGCGAGTATGTCTGGCTGGCTGGCTAGAGGACGATCGTTGGGTACAGTTAACAGAGCCATCGAAACGCAACAAAGCGCAGCAATGTACCGCACACCGAGGTCGAAACTATCATGCGACCCTACCCGCTCCACTTTCTTCACAACTGCTTTCGCATCGTTAGTCCGTCCCAACCGCGCCTACAACCCCTTTCTAATCAATGTTGAAACTTCGTCAAAAACAAACACCCCTTTTCCACCGACGCACAAAGAAACGCTCCCTGCTCACACTCACGACCTCTCCAACAGATGCCCCCCCCCCCCGCGTGAAGAACAGAATCTAAGGGGAAAAAACGAGGATAAGGAGGGTCTAGAAGTGTACGGAATGTTGAAAGAAGGAATAGGGTTCAAGGATTACCCACATGGACCAATGGATGTAGGGACAAAGCTTAAAGTCAAATTCAGGACCGGGGACATAGGCCTTCGAGAACGTCGACGAAGACATGGGACGGTAGACGACGAAGACGACAAGTTCAAATGTGATTGCGGCTTCGAATGCGAAGACCGTGTTCATGTAGTCGCGGAATGTCCGTGGTACGAAGAGGAGAGGGAAGTGTGTACATGACTGAGCTGGGAAAAATACAAGGGACGTACAGGGAGATGTTCGAGGCATGGGATAGAGAGGAGAGGACGGTAGCTGTACTGGGGAGTAGGAAGTGGTTTGAAAAGGCGGGAAGGGATATCGTTAGGATACAGACTAGGGAAGACATTTTTGAGTCACCTTTGGCAAAGTAGGAAGGAATGATTGGCCATCGGTGATCGGTCCTGTGGGAACAATACTCCGTCCTCTCGAGGACGCGTGGGCAATGGTCTAACCGCTAAGGCATGCAAAACATAAGACTACGCCCCCCCGGCGTGCTCCATCCCGGCTTTAGGGATGCGAGGTCAATTATCTAACGACTACGGCATGCACGGGTATGAGTACCCCCCCCCCCCCCCCTCTCGCGGAGGCTTTACCTCGTCCACCATTGGCACGATCTCCTGGAGCACGCGGCTGACCTCGGGCATCACCACCCTCACGTCGTCGACCAGCGGACCGGTCCTGGGAGCGTTCCGGACGGCCGACACCGGCGCCGGCGACACGTGCTGCGCTTGCGGGAGGTGCTGCGTCCGCGTGCGGAAGGGCGCAATCCGTGGCGAGTCCCAGCTGAGCCACTCGTCCCACCGCGGGGGCCACCCGTTGTAGTGGATCTGGCATCTCGAGCCTGCGTTGTGTGTGTTTGTGCGTCTTTATTGTGAGCATCGACCGCGATAACCGGCTGACCAATGAAAAGAACCCGGTCTCAGTGCGGTTGTGTCATCATCTGGGACCGCGTGAGGGCGTAATGGGGGCGGCTAAGTTACTCTCCGGATCGAAGACAGAAACTGAAAGCAGCAGCAGAAAACTGCAAGTGTCTACCAAGGCCACTACTTGTGTGTGTGAGTTGTGTGCAATTATTCGTTGGGGACGACGTCAAAATGCCAGGTTCTCTTTCTGTGTCGAGCGGGAGGCTATAACAGGAAAATGTCATGTCTGGGTGGCAAACCTGATAAATCTAACGGACCAAGGACTTTCAACCGCATACCACAACGCAAACACGAAAAAAAACAGTTCAACATACTCCACATGAGGAAGGGTATGATAAAGGAGATCTACCAAAAAAGAGCAACACCAGTCATTTGGCAAACGATAAAAAACTACAGATGTAGTGGAAGAAGCCAGTTGCTCGCTTTCGCCTCCTCTCACCAGAGCTGGTCATGTCCATTACTGTCGCCTCCAGCCAGTTGTTCACCGTGTCCTTAACGTCGAGCCACTGCCCGACGTAGAAGCGCCGCCGCAGCTGCCGCCGGCGGTCGGAGGCGGAAGACCCGTCTTCTTTGCACTCTTCTCCCCCCCCCCCGCCCTCCATCCCTCTACGGGACCCCCTCAAGAACCCTCGCGACCAGCCCCGCCCCGATATGGCGCCGTGATCTCCCCAGTTGTCGCCCTGCTCGTCGTCGCTGTCGCCTTCGTCATCGTCATCATCGTCATCGCCACTGCTGCACGCGGGGGGGTTGATGTTGATGTTCATGTTGTGGTGTTGGGGGTTAGTGCGGAGATTAAGGTGCCGAGTAAGGCACATAAATTCGAGCACGCGCGAGCAGAGTCAACGGGTCCAAGAGAGAGGAACGAGGGGTTAATGGGAGAACTTTATGCCAGCACTTACCGCAAGGTTGCGAGTCAGCGCACAGAGGTGTGGTCGATTTTCAAAGCGCAATTTCTCCACAACCAGGAGGGTGCGAGCGCCAACTGGTACTTCTCAGCAAAGCTCTCGATGAGATATTTCCAAAACCGCCCTTGTCGACAGTCGGAACCTCCCGGTTGTGGAGGAATTACGCTTTGAAAATCGTTCGCACCCCTGTGCGCTGACTCGCAACCTTACGGTAACTTGCTGGAACGACCCTTTTCGTCCACCAAATTGGGGTCACGTTGTAGGCGGGAACAGCAGTCTCTGGTGGCACTACATATGCGCTGTAGGGGGGTCAACGGCCCGGAGGCATGACAAGGGGCAGGGGTTGGGTTGGGCGCGAGAGCGGGAGGGACAAAAGGAAGTTTTCGAGGGAAGGCATTGCCACCTGGGTGCATTGACGCCAGGGTGCGTTGGCTCCCAGGATGCTTTGCTGGTGCAGGGGGAGGGGGGTATTCCGTGCGACACGCCGGGCTGATTTTTGGCAACTTGCGGGGGTAGCGGCAGGTCTGATTGCCGTCGAGGTCCTCCTATCACACTACGTGCCGCGCCCTCGATGTGAAAAATATCCCACGTCGAGTTTTTGTCCGCCACGGGAGGCGGAGGCAGCTTGAACTTGGGAAGGGGTCTCATGGTTCCCAATCCAGGCATGTTTCGAGAGGTGACGGGAAATGATGCGTCATAGCTTGAGATCGGCACTTTGAGACCCGGTCGGGCAAGGTTGGGGGAATCGGGACGAGAGATCCACCCATGGATGTCGACTCCCAACGAGACTGAAGCTAAATCTTCACAAAAAAAGCAACAAGAGAAAACTAACAACAGCACACAATGTTTTGCACGTCCTCTCTCGCTCACCTATCCTCGCTGTCAGATTGAAGCCGCGGGGGGCCCTCGGACACCTCAGACTCCGACCTCGACCTCGACCCGAACCTGGACTCCGCCGCTTCCGCCGCTTCGTCGGGCCCCAACAACGGCCAGGTCAACGAAGGCGACCCCCCTCCCGGCTCCCGCGATGCAGAGCTGGCCTCCCGACCTTCGCCTTCCTCTTCCTCTCCGTCCGCGCCTTCTTCGACCTTGTCACCTTCCCCTTCCCCTCCCTCCTCCTCCCCACCGCCGTCCCCCTCCTCCGGCCCGTCGTCCAAGGACGCCGCGGGCAGGCGCACCCCCCTCGTGGCAGAACTGCTGTCACCACCTTCGTCAAGAATCGGGACGTCAGACGACACCGCCTCGACCACTGCTTCCTCGTCCTGCTGTTCGGCTTCCGGTTGGGATTCTACCACCCCCGCCGCCGCTCCAACTTCTTCTGCTTCTCTCGTGGAAGCCTCTGCTTCAGCCGTCTCTTGTTCGCTGTCCACCGCGTCGCCCGTCGCGGTTGCTGGTGAAAGAATCGCCTCCGCTGCAGGTGCTACACCAGCCCTCCGTGCTGCCGCCACTGTTACCCCTGGTGCCGCTGGTGCTGCTGGTGCTGCTGGTGCTGCGAGGCCAAGGTCCTCGTCCTCTTCGGCGTGGTCATCGCCACCTGCTGCCCGCTCCGTGGCACTAGCATGTTCGGCCGCGTGCTGTGCGTGACAAACAAGGACGTGTTTCAAGGATTAAACTTGGCCGGGTGTTTTGGGGGGGGTCGTGTAAGAGTGGAATAAAAGGCGGGGACGAGGCAAGGCTAAAGGGAGGGGGGGGTGACAAAGATAGTACGAGCGGATCAAGACGCCTGAGACGGCCCTAATCTCCTCTATTTGAGGGGGGATGATACCGGTAGTCCGACCGGATCAGGATACCTGAGGCGGCGCTAAATTCCTGTATTGAACGGGGTCTTCGGGTTGACATAATCTCCTTCTACAGCTCTACACGGCTTCCTTCGCACAGACCAAACACAACATCTATTTCTTGAGTGCCCATTGCCCAGTAGATTGAGCGCCACATACAAGGCGATTTATCGCGCACGCGTCAGGAGGATTTCAGTTGACCGATCGCCGATTATCGCACCCAAGTCAAGCCTAAGGTTGGGAAAGGGGAGAAGGTTCGCGGAAGAGTTTAAGGCTAGCGTCATGCAAAACGAACAAGGTGCCGCCGAAGCCCCGAGTGCCACGCCCAAGCCCTGCAGAGCACCTAACGCCCAGCAGCGGCCTCGTGAACAGAAGCGGGCCCCAGGCCCGTGGCATTCTTTCGTGAAGGCCGGTGCCGTACACTGTACACGAACATCGCACCACCCCTCCCCTACTCGTACAGGTCAACACTAGCCCTCCTTTGTGCTCCCCCTCCCCCTATTTCATGCAACGTATCACAAAAACACAACGGCTGCCTGCGATACTGTCCGCAGGACCAAATCAGGCCTACTTCTTCCCCTTGTCTATCGGGCAAAAAGACCAAGCAAACTCGTTTATCTCTCACCGCCCCCACCCCATCCGAGGAGGAGTCGAGTACTTGTCGCCTCCTGCTGCTCGCGGTCCCCGACAAGAGGGTGTGCAGCGTAAGCAGACCCTGCCGCACGTGCTCTAGGTTCGCCGGCTCCCCTTCCGCGACGCCTTGCTCAACCCGGTTGTCATCGCCCCCTGCCCCGGTCCCCGCCGGCCGCCCCACCCGCGACTGCAAACCCCTCGAGCCCCGCCTCCCGAGCACAGTCTCAGCAAGGCCGTTCGCATTCCACTGGGGCATCGCCAGCGGCGGTGATCCGGCCGCCCTCGCCGCCCTCCCCCCCCCCCCTCCTCCCCCGCCGCCGCCTGCCGTTCCCTCCCCCGAGGGCAAGCATGTTCGACAAGAAATCCCCTTGCTCGAGCCCAGCCGCGGCGTTGAGCAACGCGTTGTCTATCCCGTTGTTGTTGTTGTTGTTGCGCCCTTGTCCTCTCTCCGCGGCAGCGGTGGCCGGGACGGCGGCGGTAGTGGCGGGCGCGCCCATCCCCATCAGCAAGCGGTCGCTGCGGCCCCCCCCGCCGGTCGGGGGCCGCAGGTAGTAGGGGGCGGGGGCGGACGCCGACGGAGCCCCGCCGCCGCCCCCCCCCGCGGGCGGCGGGACGCCCTCCGGCCTCGCCACCATGTGGACGAAGTGGCCGTTCTCCACCTTATAGGCGCTGAGGGGGTCCGCATCGGCCAGCACTTTCCCTCGGTAGATGAGGCGTTGTCGCGCCTGGGGGGACGCGTCATTCGAGAGCCAAAGAGTGTCGCCCAATAAACGAACGAAGACGAGAGGGAGGAGAGGTGTGTGCGTGCTTGAGGAGGGGCGGGGCGTTTGTTACGATACAAATACGATGAAAAGTGACACTCGGGAGGGGGGGCCGCAAAAGCAGCTGGTGCGTACTACGTGGCCTGTACGATGGTCGGTCGGCGGCGGTGCTTGTTGAGGCAGGGCCGAAAAAGAAAACGCGGTGGTCGATGACAAAGAACAACAGATCGTGTCCCGCGATGATACCTTTGGGACAAACATGGAACGAGGGCGCACTCGCTACTCATTGCTTTTTCTGAGTGGCGAGGAGGCGCGATTAGCGTGCAAGCACGAGGACGAAGAGCAGCATGCAACTCGTGCTGGTGAGGACATTTTCAAAGCCCACGCCACTGCTGTCTCTTCCTCCACCTACCATCATTGACATACGACCTCGCTCTGTGAGAGAAAGTGCAAAAGGACGCGTTCGTTTTAGAGCGGCATCATCGTTAACTCCCTTGTGTCGTACAGAGCATGGAACGAGTAAGTCCGCCGCATGCCCCCCACGTGCTGTACGCTCCGCGCATCTGCAGACGGCGCGGTCCGCGTGCTACAACTGCCAGGCTGCGTCCGTGGAGAGCAGGACAGATGACAGCAGGGCGAGGGTTTGCAGAAAAAAAAACAAGACGGTAGCACGGGCCGAAGTCCAGACACAGGCAAGTGCTGTGACAACACCGTGCCTGCGACAGCACTTGCCTGCGTCCGCAGGTCGGCCCGTGCTACCATCTCGGCCATTTTCTGCAAGGCGTTTTCGATTCGTACACCCCTACCTAACTACTCCCACAGAAGTGCGCGACCAGTGGCCGGTCTGACACACACGTTGCCGCTCAGGAAGTCACGGCTGGCAACGTGGTCTCTTGCTTCTCGCACATGCGGAGGTGTTCACAAGTGGTCCCTCTGGGGTGGCTCATGAAAGCACAGAAGGGGTGATGCAAGATGAAAATCAAAGCAGGCAGCAGGACCAATCCACAGCTGGTTGCCAGCCGTGGCGTTGCCCAAGCTCGAACAGCTCACAAAAAGCTGACGTGTGATCGACTGCAACAGCCCAGCAAACCTCAATCAACCAAAAGGAGAAAATTACGTATCTGTACAGTCTTGTTCAACGCTTCACCCGAAACAACTGTGGTGTTTAATTTTTTTTTCAGGTGCACCAGCGATCGTCGTCTCGTGAGAGGGGGGGACATCCCGCTTCCGTCCGATCATAGGGACGACAAGGACTTAAAAAAGAAGACAGTAGACTGTACGTAGAGAAACACCGGGACTCTCTTCAGACACGGCGTCAGCGAATTGTAACCGTAACTTCATCTCGGAGTTTAGGGACACCAAAAAAAAAAAATTTCGACGTTGAGAAACAACGGGATTCTCTTCTGATATCGTGTCAGATAATTGCACCCATAGCGTTGTCTCGGAGTTGTGGTACAAAAAACAACACCAGATTTTCGGAACCGACACTATCTTGTGGCATTGTGTCGTCAGCGAACTGCAACCATGGCTTCGTGTCGGAGTTGTTCCGTACCCTGAGTCGCAGGCGCCGGCTGTTTACGTAAAATAGTATTGTGTCTCAAGACCTCCATAACGCAAGCGCTTGGCAAAGTCGACGGGGCATGTACCGTAAGTTGCGTAAGATATCACACACCCCGGACCGATTTTCAAAGCTCGATTACTCCACGACGAAGAGGATGCCGAAACCAAAGGATGTTTTTCGGAAAGCTCTCAAACGCAGCGGTTCCAACGCCGCCATTGTCGGCACCGTCGCTGCTTTTCGTGCCGAATAATCGAGCTTCGAACACCGGTGTAGGGGGCGTGATATCTTGCGTCGTGCAACCTATGCATACGGTAACATGATGTTCTCGCTCCAAGGATCCACCCACGGGGGGGGCACCTTCGTGTTCTTCTCGTGGTGCATAGTGCTACATTTCCACTACACCCGGAATATCCTCGCGTGCACATATAAACACCTTAAAATCCGACATCTGTGTGGTGACAGCATGCTACGCATACCACGAACGGCCTCTCGACACGTGGCTGTCTGTTCGATTGCCCCTCTACCGGTCCTCGTCTCAACGTCAGAGCAGAAACGATGTGACTTCTGCGGGGTGCCAACCCCGACGTGAGCGAACCACCGACCTGCGCGTTGATTGCAACACCAACATTGGGACATACGATCATGATAGCATACCAACTCTGTTCACCACTGACTGTGAACAGAAATGGTATCGTGCCTTATAGCCCATAGTTCGTGCGGATAGGTAAATGTTGCTGTTGCAACAAAAAGGGCAGGTCGGTGGTTAGGCTGAAGTCGGCGTTGCACCCGCAAGACAAATATATTGTAGGAGAAAAAAATAAGTGCTTGTACCGACCCCCCCTCTCTGCTCTAAAAGCCCTACCGAAAACGAACACCGAATCACGAAATCGCCAGATACCAAGTGGGCGATACATCGGAGTACTGCTGTAGGTTGGGCGTGTTGTGTTTTCGTGTTGGGTATTTTCAGTTTCGGGGACACAATAATATGGTACCACTTTTTATCGCTATTCATCACCCCACCCACCTCATCCACGTTGGTCTGCTGCCGGACCTTGGTCTTGAGCTCCGACACCAGCTCATCGCGGCCAACGGCCAGCTCGAAGTCGGGGCCGTTCAGAGTCTTGATGTTCACCGTCACGGCCCCGGCTGCTGCTGCCGCTGCTGCTGCTGCTGCAGCGCCGTCGCTACCATTCGCAGCATTATTCTCCCCCTCCAGGGGCGGCGGAGCGTCATCGACCGCCGCCGTCGGCAAGCCGGCGTCTGCCACTGCCGGAGCAGTCACGCCCGCGTCGTCAGCCATTGGCACGCTCGAGACTGTCCGCAACAGATGTAACTGCTACCAAAAAGGCCGCCTTGGTTGGTCTTCACACAAGAGAAGACGTGGCGGGGCTCCCGCGCGTGGTGTTTGCTGTGCGGAGGGCGAGAGATACGCAACGGGGATAGGGGGGCGGGGGGGCAAAGTGAGAACACGTGTGCATCTATTTATAGCATACGGGTGAACCGACTCCGCGTGTCCCGCTGCTGCTGTTTGGTATGTTTAATGTTTTCCTCCCTTCCGTTGCCCGTGTAACGTCACACCTTACGCTTTCATTTACATTGTTGTGACACTATTAAATGTCTAATTCGGATTCGGAAATGTACATGGGAAGGCGGGGGGGGGGGATTGTCTGCTGTGCTTTGTAGCCTTCCTTTTTGAGCTATCTCGGATAGTAACCGCTACGTGACCACGCAGGTAGCGGGGCGGGTCTGAGGCTAGCGCCGAACTCGCAGAAAGCAGTAAAAATAGGCTGGTGTGTGTCGGAGCAAGCGGGTTCGCTTGCCGAAAAATTGAAATTGCGCAGAATTATGAAGTCTAGAGAGGAACGAAAGTTGCGTACACATCGAACGCGCCAGCCGTATTCCGTCCGAAATAATCAGCTCGGGGCCGGGTAGTTGCCAGGCCTACCCTATAGCAACAAAATTTTGTCAGCGACTTGCGGCTGCATCCTCTATATCGGGGGTTTCATGGTCCAGCAGCAGCAGCAGCAGCAGCAGCAGCAGCAGCAGCAGCAGGAGCAAGCAGGTCTCCGCGTGTTGCCGTGCCTAACGCGCACACATTCCCGGACTGCGCACCTTTTCTTCCTGTCCAGACTGGAGGCAAAGGCGTCTCCGGTTCTTGTCTCCCTTGTCTCCCTTCTTATCTCTTCCTCGCAAACACACACGCTGCAGCCTTCGTCGCTATCTTCGCGCTGCTTCCCTACCTCGACCTTCTGCTGTCTGGCATTTCCAAGTTTCGTTTTGACTTTCGCCACAGGGGGTACGCAAAATACAGCAGGGGGGTGAGGGGGGACCCACCGCACATTTTTCGCATGTTGTGCGTCTCCGTCGCAGGTCGTTGGTTGGTTTGCCTGTCTGCCTCCAGCCTGCCTCTCCGCCTGACAGGCCTCCATACGCAAACAAACTAATTACGTTGTGATAGTTGGTCATATTCCACACGTTTGTACGACGTACAACGTCCATGTGCATCATGACAGAGAACCACAGACTCCGAGTGTGGTTGTTACTGGTTGCGCAGATTGAACGGCTAGACTAAATAATGATGAAGTAAGATCCGACACTTCATCACGGCCGTGTTTTCTGGTACTCCATACCATTCGTTTACTCTCTCCGCTTCGGAAATGAAGGGTACCACCGAGAGACCGGCGAGGCGAGAGCTCGTTCTTGTGCCCCCGTTGGTAAATCAGATTTGTTTGCCGACAGGGTCAGCTATTCAATGATGGATGAGATGTTGGCACCGATGTACGTGTGAACTCGCAAAAACTCTCCCCAGGTGAAATTAAATGGTGAAGCAAAACATGAATGAATGAAGGGTGCATCTTTATTGAACGAGCTAAGGAGCGGTATGAAGCGTTCTACATACTAGACGGAGAATAGTAGGGGAAAGCGTAGCACTTCATTGTGCGCACACCGATCCGATTAATGTGTCAACATTCACACCACGCCTGGCTTCGCAATATCATGTCTCAAACCTCGATTGAGAACAACCTGGTACATTTATTTTACGTCGTAGATTCGTAGTACACACACGGTCTGTGCTGTTGCTCCTGTACGATGCCCTTCTTCTATGGGTATCATCGCGGCTGGGCAAAACATTCTCTTGCTTCTCGATTTACTCCGAGGAATACATACGCGGGGTAGATCCGCTTTGCTCTACAATTTTAATTTTCCGTACGCTTCTTCTTGGGCACAAACTACATACAGATGCTCCTACCCCAACTGCTACTTTTACACAGGACGCTTGGCCTATCAATACATCACGTCAAACGGATGCAGGTCGCGTGAACCCTTTTCAAAGACTTCAAAAAATACACCACGCACAATAATCTCCAACCCTACCCGCACCGGCCTACAGAGTTGATGAGACAACGACAGCACCAGACCAGTCAACTAATCTTCCTCCCGTCACAAAACCTTTACCAAGGGGACAGAAAACCTTGACCGAGGGGACAGAAACGACTACAAGGCATTCGTCGAATGCATATGCATCCACCAGATAACTTTTCAAGAATGCGGCTACGCAAATAACTGTGTGACAAGTCCAAGGGCTTTAGAGAGCAGAGAGAGAGGCGAAGGGCCAAGTATCACGCTTACACCCGAGAAGCGGCGGCGGCGGCGGCGGCAGCGGGAACGAGACAAAACATCACAACCGGACCCGCCCCAGATACTTGTTTTGGCTCGATCCGAGGAACGTGTAACCGCTCTTGGAGCTCCGGTACGCGGCGCTGACGAACGCCGTCCGACCCGTCGCGTCGTGCATGCTCTCCTTCACCGTGCCATCCAAGCCGAGGACGAACACCAGGCCGTAGCTTGTCGAGTGGGTGAGGTTTTGATGGGTTTCGAGGAGGCAACAGAGGGAAAGGGGGGGGGGGGGGGGGGGGCGGGGCCGTTAGGTGGACGCCGTTTGGGTCATGTGGCCATTGTAGTAAGGGATGGGGCGGGGCCGGGGGGGGGGCACTGGTTACGTTTCGCCCTCCGCGCCGATAAGGTCAAAGGGTCATGGGCTACAACTTTCGTAAGAACGGGAGAGCGGTGCGAGGGCGTGCGTACTAAACAATGTCGTGCTGCTTGTCTCAGTCTTGGCGCGGTCGGCCATGCATCACAGCCGAGATACACCGTTCACATGGTGTCGTTCCAATCACCACGCCACTGCTGCAGTACGGTTGCTCTTCGCATATATTTAGCGTATTCAAGTCTTCATAGATGTTTATTGCTGGCTGAGACCCTCATTTCACAATTGGGGAACATAGTACTCGCAAATTTGTTAACTGTCGGCCCGTATTACCACCAATAATGGTATTTGTGGGCCGCAAGTGTTACCTACCCTCAAACCCATACACGTTGATGTTATCGTATGTAGCATGCCTAGATACACACACGCGCTTCTGCCAAAACTCACACACAACGGTAGTGGGGATACGAAACCACTCGGCCCGGGTGTACGGCACGGCAAGATTCGACAGCAGAACGGGGGGGCACCGGCTTTTGTGCTGATGGCGGCGGCGGGCTGGCAAAGAAAACAAGTCCCCGAAAAAAAAATATATATCACCTTGGAACCAAGTTCTCGATGACCCCCATTGGCACAAGCTTGCCGATGATTGTTCTGAAAATGGCGGGTTTCTTCAGAGAAAGGTCGGGCGTATCGGGGCAGCATGGGGAAGGGGTGATTTCGTGCATTGATATCGGGAACAAACGGTTGTGCTATTCTGTGATGAATACAGGGCAGAGTGTAGAACAACTGATTGCATTCAGTTCTGATTGGTTCAAGAAAACGACCACAAAAATTGGAAGGTGTAGGAAATATGTATGCTCTGGTGCGACAACAAAATTTGAAGTTGTGCGAAGAATGTGTGCTCTGGAGACATATGGAATAGCAGTAAACAAACAAACGTCAACGACCTTTCAACGACTATTTTTGTCTTCTCCGTTGCATACTTGTACTCCGTATTTCCAGAACGACGGACCAAAGTTTACCCTCTCCCCGTTGGAAAAGGTTCAATGCACGGGTGAAGTGTACTTCGACGATAATTCGCACAGCGCGTGGTTGTCGCGGAGGTGGAGTCATGTTGGTTCTACAAGGCACGCCTCCGGAGTAGGCTCATCAGAGCATAACAGCAGTAGTGTCATCAAGGCGTGATGCAAGATGAAAGTAAAGCATGTGCTGGCGTGAATCAACTGCCAGCTGCCATCAGTGACGTTTCCCAAGCTCGAACAGCTCACACAGCTGACGACATGTTTTCGGCTCGAAGAGCCCAGGGAACCTCGACGACCCGAAAAGAAAACTTTTAAAATCTGTTTACAGCAGTCCTACATACATACACATCTTGCAGAGGGTATCATACTATAGGCATCATCACCTTCAGGGCCAGGTGCAGGGCGGAGAACGGGGCGGCTACCTTGGTGCCCGCGCCGGCAACGTACCCGCCTCTGGTCTCGTCAAACACCAGGTTGTCCACGAAACCTGATGATCATACAGTGCCCCGATAGTCGTCGTCGCAAAAGAGAGGAACAGCGTAAACGGCGGCAAGTTGTTTCGTTTGTCTGTGCAAATGTCCATGCTCGTGACTATAGCTCGTGCTGACGGAACTCTCAGTGCGCGATTGTCGGCGTCGAGACAATAAACCTAACCCGGTCTTGCGTCAGTGATGCGTTACATGGCCGTGTGTGTGTGTGTGTGTTCATAACTAGCATATTTCGCGCTAACCGGCTGACCAATCAATATATCACAGTCTTAGAGCGGGGAATAAGAAAGGACAAAACTGTGTGTGTTTATTGCAAGCATCGACCATGCTAAAAGGCTGACCTATGAAAAGGCATCGGTCTCAGTGAGGCTACAAGCAGATTATGGGTCCAAATGCCATGATCTGGGACCCCGTGAGGGAGGAGGCTAAGCTGTTCTCCGGATAAAAACGAAGACGGTAGCAAACAGCAGAACAATGCATGTGTCTACCTGCTACTTTGCACACGCACACATTTTTGAGTGCTTTCATCATCCCCCTTGCCTTTATATGTACTCCCCAAACCCAAAAACAATTAATTGAATCAAACACCCCTATATATTTATATATATGTACTCCCCAAACCCAAAAACAATTAATTAAATCAAACACCCCATATAATTACATATATATATTTTGTGCCCCGCTGGGGTCAGAAGGGAGCTGGTGAACAACACGAGTGTATGGTGCATGGTGCCAATGAATGTGTATTTTATTCTTTTACCACCACTCGCGTCACCAATAATACCGCTATGTTTTGGCCGGCCCTCTCTACCCCTGCGGCGTTTGTCGTGAGGAAGGTGATCTGGCTCGAAATTCTTGCTCTCTTCGGTTTTCCTCCCTCCATCACCGTGTCACCCGTTTTTTCCCTCTCTTCTCCTACGTCACTGCAACCACCGCCCTCCTTGTTCGCCCACGCCACTACTACTACTGAAATCCCAACGTGTTGGCCGTGATGGAACTTGGTCGACCAGTAGGTCCATGACGTCTACCTGAACACGCCACGGGTTCGCACGGGCAGAAAAAGAGCTAGCCCCAAGGTAAACGGTCTCCGAATTCTGCCGGTACGGTACAATTAAGCCTTGAGGCGAAGAGAGGTTGACTAGTCGTCGACAAGCTCCGCACGCTAATGGGTGGCGGTAGCTACGATTGACCGATTTGTACCACCAAGGCACTAATCGGTTGACCGTCGGTATCGCAAACCATTTAGCCAACGAAGAACTCTGCCGGAGGAAATTTCGACAACGAGACAGGCTTTCGCCTGAAGGCTTCTTGTACCGTACAAACAGAATTCGGAGACGGCATGCCATTGAGCTAGCTCGTTTTCTGTCAGTACGAACTCGTGACGTCTTCTGACGCCATGGAACACTGATCGATCAAATTCCACCACAGTCAATGTGTGTACTTACGTGTTCCTTACGGCTGACCAATGAAAATACCTCAGTTTTTCAGCGGGGATGAAAGAAAAGGCAAATCGTCATGTGTGTGCGTGTTATATTCGTAGCGTCGACCATGATAATCGGCTGACCAAAGGAAAGATGTTAGTCTCAGTGTGGCTCAAGACAGAAATTGCCTCCAAAGCCGATGACGTGGGACCCCGCGAGGGGGCGTCATGGGGAAGGCTAAACTACGCTCCGGATTGAAGACAAAAACCATCACGACAGAAGTGTGTGCGTGTGTGTGTGTTTCGTCCTATGTATTCCGGGCGCCAGTCTACGGTACAGCGGGGGGGGCGGTTTAGCGACCGTAGTGTCACGACGAAATGTGGCCGCTTTTCAGGGAAGGTCGCGAAACCGAACTAACAATTATGTAGCAGTTTTACTAACGGGGTGCGGCGGTGCCACGTGATTTTGTGGTCGCTAAACAGGGAATCGCTAAACCGAGACCCCCACTGTACAACTTTCGGTATGCGTCAAAGGATGCATACCCGTCGGGGCCACACAGGCAGGAAGGTTGACATGGGTGTATGTCTATGCTGTCACCCCCACGTTTCCTTCTCCTACTGGGGTGCTTGTGATCGGCTCTTAACGCGAGAAGGATTCAGCACTCCCTTCAGTCACGGCTCTTCGCTCGTTCCACTTCTAGGTCTAAGTTCCGATTGTTTTCCACTCCAGAGAGACTCAAACCCACAGCCAAGAGACAGAAGGTAACTACTGTAGGTTACCATCTAAGCAACGCAGCGGCTATCGTTGTGTGACAGCGGTCATCATTGAGGGCGGAAACCCTAAACAATCTCAATCCTTGCGTGGTAGCAGTGCAGCCCTAAGAAAAGCGGGGTTCAACAAACGATTCTGAGTTTGGCCCGGTGCAATCTTCATGGTAAAAAAGCGGTAGTATGTACAATATTTGCGATACGTGATCTGAAACACGTTTCACTGTTGCGGTGTGGTAACCAACGACATACTTTGATAACTTCGTAAGTGCTGCACAAGCAACAAGGGAGGCGTTTCCACCCCATGCTAACACCCCAAGGATTCATCCGGTGGCCAGAAAGTCTGGCAGACATCTAAATCTCAGATGTGATTTGAACCCTAAATACTTGCTGTACACGTTGTTGTTGTCGTTGTTCATGTTCATGTTCTGGGTGTCGCCATTGTCGCCGCCGCCGCCATCCCTGCCATTGTTTTCGCTCATCATGTCCCACACAAAAAAACAGGAGGAACACCGCGAAAAACAAACGCGGCGCTTTCATAAGCATACCTGGCAACGCCTCCGCGAAAACTCGCACCCCGTCGGGCAAGGCCTCCTCCTCTCCGCAAGACCCCAGGGCGTCGACGAGCGACGCGGCAGGCGTGTTTTCTTCTCGGCGGGAGTTCTCCGAAGACGCCTGCCCCTGGAGAACATGAGCCAGATCAACCTCCAGCACCCGGAATCGCATCGACTCTACCACGAGCAACTTTTTCCCAGACGGGTGAAGCTTTTTTGGGTCG